ATCCTAAAGCTTTCAAGAAAGATGCAGTTATTGGATAATTAAACAGAACTGATCGCAAATGTAGTGAAAAAACAAACAATACATGCTCTAAATAAAATCAATTCTGAGTAACGAATATCCACCTTTTTTTTTGCATCGAACAAATTTTCAAGAACTATGACGCGCAAAAATCATCATCGCAATTCCAACATGAAAAAACACAGATAAACAAAGATAATTTTTTTCCAAAGATAATACAAAAAATAATATTTTTATAACACCTCTAACTGACGAAGCTATCTGAAAGAAAATATAAACTATAATCATTTGAAGTTTTGTACTATCAGTTTTGGTTTGTGTTTTTGTGGAACGCTCCTGAAGAAGCTGTAGAGCGAAACGTTCAGTGTTTAATTAAATAAAAACAACAATTTGTTGTTATAATGTCGTTTATTTCTAGTATTAAGGTGTAATGTTCCGTGTAAAATTAGGCCCGGCATGGCCAGGTGTTTAGGGCACTTGACTCGCAATCTGAGGGTCGCGGGTTCGAATCAAACAGCTTGCCCTTTCAGCCGTGGGGGCATTATAATGTACAGCCAATTCTACTATTCGTTGGTAAAAGAGTAGCCCAAGAGTTGGTGGTGGGTGGTAATGACTAGCTGCCTTCCCTCTAATCTTACGCTATTAAATGAGGGACGGCTAGCGCAGATAGCCCTCGTGTAGCTTTGCGCGAAATTCAAAACCAAACCAATCCTTTATTCTTTCTATGATAATATATTCAACATCTAGTCAAAATTACTGGTTGTTTGGGATTTCTGTAAGTGCATGGCCTGTGTTTTTTTCCACTGTTATTTTCATTATTGTACATAAGTCTTATAACATTAGGGTTTGCTAGTTTTGTGAAAGAAAGAGGCCCCTAAAAATGATCACTCTTATTGGCTACTATAGCTCCAGATGTAAGCGGTGCAACGGTGGCGACATGCAACGGTGCTAATTCAAGCTCGGTGTATACAATCGCTTTTAACAGCGAGTGCAAAGTGATTTTCATGTTGTTGTTGTTTCATCTTACAGTTTTTAGATTTCATTTAGATAACTTCTAGATCCTCTGAAGTTAATATCAAAATATTTTTTTCAGTTAAAATTTATATTTGATCTGTTATTTTCTCCACCCTAACACCCTCTGCCCTAAGTATGTTCGGTGACAGGTTTCCAATTCGCGACCCGCAAATTTCGAGTCTAGCGCCCTAACCATCAAGCCATGCTAGATCTAGACGTTTAGGTATTAAGCCCATGGGTCTTACTCTCTGTCTGAATTTATATTATACATAAGATGGAGGCATCTTGGCGTTTGAAATTTATGTTGTTAAGACAAAATGCAACATTCTTGGTTTAAATGTAATACAGCTGACAAACTGGAAAATGCAGCACTATGTTTATTCCAAAAAAGCAGTATATTAACTATTGATTATTTAAATCTACATTCTTAATGGTTACCATTAAATAATAACATGAGGAATAATGTGCTATTAGGTAAGTACCAATACAATGTCACATCTTTCAACAGCTCAATTAAGGAGGTAGTCACCGTTTAAAAATATAAACAGAAGACACCCCGCATATTTTCTTAAATGACAAGGGTAGAACCAGAAGGGCGTTGTGTAGTTCGTAGTGTTTTTACATCGAAGGGGAAACACTTGGAACAAAATTCGATCCGATGGATGTCAGATCACTTAGGTAGCGCAGTACTTCACTTAGTGTTGACACTAGAAATGTCACTAACTGGTGTAGAGTGATCTTGTGAATTCAATTACTGATCCTTTCATAATGACACTAGAATGTCACTAACTGGTGTAGAGTGATCTTGTGAATTCAATCACTGATCCTTTCATAATGACACTAGAATGTCACTAACTGGTGTAGAGTGATCTTGTGAATTCAATCACTGATCCTTTGATAATGACACTAGAATGTCACTAA